CTCCAGCATCCCCTTAAAACAGGAAGTAAATAGAGGAAGTACGCCGTGAACGGCCGAAAAGATATTATTTTGATGGCTAATTCTACGAGTGAACGACTGTTCGGATTTCTATTCAGTGAGACGCAGGAGAGCAGTGACGAAGAGGAAGAATTAGCCGAGGCGTTTTTACTGGAAGCCCATACGTGGTCTCCGTCGAGGAAAGCTGTGCGAATTGAAGGTTATGTGGAGAATTCACAGTCCCAAGATTTAATACAAAACAATTCCGTGAACATTATCGAATGCTGCTTAGCACATTTGAACTAGTATAGAAAATCGTCTCGGGCCTATTTTATTTGCGCGTGTAACCAATTTTTGGGGCAAAATGTTCATTGCTTCTTCCTGCATTCAACCGCAATGATTTGCAGTTTGAAGGTTGAGGCAAAAATTTCTGATTGGTCAACTCTTTGACTATATAATCATGGACTGCTAGTTGCCTCCACTTTGCCTGGTCTAACACGTAATCAACATCACGAGTGCCGCCATAGGATAAATGGCAGAAAATCGAAACACTAAGTCAGATTTAATGGTAAAACAGGGCAGAAGACAGAGATAGAATATAGCTTATGTCGTGCTGTTTTATCATGTTTATCAGAGTTCAGAACCAATTATATTATAATTGCTATATTCTATCTCTGTCTTCTGTCCTGTTTTACCATTAAATTTGACTTAGTGTTTTGATTTTCTGCCATTTATCCTATGGTGGCGCTCGTGATGTTGATTACAGCCTGAATGCGGCAACTAGCAGTCCATGATTATATAGTCAAAGGGTCAACTCGGTAGTTCGGGCCACTTCTGATTGGTTGACACCGCGCGTCCACCGGATTGCTTCACCTTGTATCTTTGCACCATGGCACGGCCTATCGATACCGCGCGGATATATCGCTCGAGAGTCGCCGCGGCGACCTATCGGGATCGAGATTGATCGAGATCGATCGAGATCGCCGAGCGTCACATGATTACAAACCCTCGTCGCGGTGGATGACTACGGGCGGGCGATCGGCCGAGGATATTGGCGAACGCGGAGCACTCGGGACACTCCGTTCACGCTCGCGGCTGATTATCGAGCGTCCGCGCGTGACAACGTACGGGCCGTAGCTTGGTTAAATCCGACCACCCCGCGCGGACGATCTCGTCGACCAGGATGAAGGTCTGCGGGCCCAAGTACGCTCTGTGCGGCCTAGTGCTGTCCGTCTGGGGCATATTCCAACTGGTGAGAGAAATCACGCTTTCCGCAGACGCATTTCTTCATGCGCAGCCGAAAATTTCGGGAGCAGTTCGCTCCCTGGTCGAGTTTGTCGGAGACCAATTTCGCCGTTGACGTTTGCTACAAATTTTGTCGTTCGAACGCCAGTAGAGAGTCTTTCACGAGGGGGTCAATTCTGTATCTCGCACCGTAGCGAAGGTGCCGAAAGTGAGCAGCTTTGTCTCTTTCTAAGGGGACAGTTGGAAAGAGACAAAGCTGCTCACTTCTAGCATGTTCACTGTGTCGCAGGATCTAGAATCGACCCCCAGAATCTGGGTGTCAATTCTGTATCTTGCACTATGGTAAAAATGCGAAAAGTGAAATATAGACCGACCGTCCCTTCAGAAAGAGATAGAGCCGCTCACTTCTAGCATTTGCACCACGTTGCAAGATACAGACTTGACCTTCTGATGGCAGGACTGATTGCAGAAACCGGGCAGAATCTGCCTCTTCGTAGACACTTGAACGACGTGTTTCAATTAAGTGGCTACGAAATGACGGATTCTGCTGGATTTCTGTCGGCAGTTAATGAAACGCGAACGCAACGTTGACGCCGGTTAACGCCAGTCTACCGCAATACGATGGAAACTGTGGATAACCCGCCAGGTTTAGAGCTTTTGTTCTCCTTTTCGTCCCTAGCTCTTCATGGGCATATTTTTCTACGTCCGGAGCGTGGCGCTGGTGGAGGATCTGCCGTTAGGCGAGAAGGCCAACTTCACCTCGCTGGAGGAGTTCTACAAAATAGTCGACCGGGGTTACACGCAGAACGCGTACAACTGCTGGATCGCCGCGTGCATTTACGTTCTCACCTTCCTCTTCTCCGGCCACCAGTTCTACCTCAACTCCAGGTCGTCCCTCAGCGTGTAAGCGGAGACGGAATGACGCTGCACAACGACGCCGACGTGCGTTCGATTTGTAATAATGTACTTCTAGGAAGAGATCCGGGTTTTGAATTTACTTTCAAGCTTGCGCCATACAGTTACCCCACACTCAAGTTGTTATCCAAATGCAATCCAAATGGAATGCCTGTATTCCAAGTGTTTGTACGAGCGCAGAGGATGTATTTTTCGTCACGTACGCGCGCGTTATTCATATTTCCATCAGTGTACATTATATATGCATAATATATATATATATACTAATATAGCTGAAGACACAGAAGGATACAAGGGAGATCGTGTAACTCGCGGTGGTCTTACTATGTTGGAATTGGTTTTATTCGTCGGTAGCAATGTATTTCAGTCGCGTCTAAATTCCGCTTGTATTGTTAGCGTATTGTTAATATGATTAATAAATTAATCCTAAAGAGAATAATCTTAAGAGTCGCCAGCAGTAATTAACAACATCGGCGACATTTATCGACCGTATCTGGCAATTTTAGTAATACAGAAAATTTATTGCGAAAAGTATTACCTCGGCCAGAGTTTGAACCTGGACCTGCCTGCTCTCTAGGCGGGCGTCTCGACCAGTTCGACCGCTGAGGCGTGGTTGAACCGCCCGCCTAGAGAAAAGGCAGGCCCAGAGGTTCAAACCCTGGCTGAGGTAATACTTTTCGCAATAAATTCTCTGTATTACTAAAATTGCCAGATACGGTCAATAAATATCGCCGATGTTATTAATCCTAAACCTAGAATAACATTCGTTCCTCCAACGTGTGGCAATGGCATTTGTTCTCTCGAACGGATTAAGCATCGTGCTGCGACGTGTCGACTTGACTTTCTGTATTTTTTATCCTAGAAAGTGCGTTGCTGCAAAGCATCCATCGACGTATCGCGGTTGTTTCCTAGCGTCGTCCGCGCTGCTGATACAGTAATCGCTTCCCGGACAGCGTGCAAGGGACATCTATCGAGACGTTACCGAGTTGTCTCGTTGGACGTGTACACGCTGAAAGATGTCTTGATGATATCTTTACGGCATTTTTTAGGTACGTGCGTTATCTGGATTGCTCCGATCTCTCTCTCTCTCTCTCTCATCTTTATGGTAGGCGAGGTTTCAATTGTATCCGGTCCTGGCAAACCCGGAGAGGCGCGGCTTTGACCCTTTCGCGGCCGAGTTACCTTACTTTTTTTTTTCTAATTTTGCACGCGGGACGCGTCCTCGCGAAAAAAGGGTTGCAGCGGAGATCCATTTAATCCGACTTACACCTGTTTCTACCAACGCAGTTTAACTTTAATCTCGGTTCAACTTGCTTTGTATCTTTTTCTAGTGAATTGGAAAAGGACAAGAAGCAATTCGAGCCGAGATTAAAGTTAATCCGCATTGGCAGAAACATTAGTCGGCGGAGGAACGCGGGTGAAACGCGTTCCCCCGAGACCGCGCCGTCGTCCTCCGCCCACAAGGCGTGCACGGAGTGAGAGCGAGTCACATGACTGCGCGCCGCGTGTCCGTCGCGGCAACGAGGTCACGTCACGCGGCATGCGTCACGGCTGCTGTCACCGCAGGCGGACACGAAGCGGCACGGCATGACGCTCTGGAGAGATTCGGCAGGTTAGGACACCGATGCCCGCCGCTCTGTATCTCGCAGCACCTTTGACTCCGATAAACGGCCCCCGATTTTCGTTGGCGCAACGTCGGACGGGCGGGCGGGCGACGTAACGCGACGGCGATCTGACGCGGCGTCCTTCGTCCCGTCGTCCTCGCCGGATCACGTGCGCACGGTATGTATAATTTACTGTACCGAGTACTGTCCTTCGGTAATCAACGGGGTCGTTGCAGGAGTCTGGAGACCCTTCCATCCCGCGTTGACGAGGGATCCGCGCGAGGGTGAGGGAAGGTCGCGTCTCGCGAGAGGAGCCCAGAGCCGTTTATGCCCAGCGACGAGCCGTCACGATGGAGCCCGGCAGCTCGACGGACGATTACGCGGAGATAATACGGAAGCTGCCTCTCTACTTGAGACTGGCCTACGGCACCGGGCATGTGCTCAACGACATCTGCGCTTCCATGTGGTTCACGTATCTGCTGGTCTTCTTTCACCTGGTGCTCGGTTTCGATCCGGCTCTGGCCGGCGTGGTGCTACTGATCGGCCAGGTAGCGGACGCCCTGGTCACCCCGTTCGTCGGCTTTCAATCGGACAGGAACGACGACTTCTGGCTGTGCCGATACGGCAGAAGGAAGACCTGGCACTTGTTAGGTATTGCTCCCAGTCGTGTTATCTTCCGTCCACTTGTCTTGTCTGGCTGTGTTATCTTATCTTGGCCAGCAAGCGAAGTGTTGGCGTTGTGTTGGCAAGGCTCAAGCAGACGCGAGTGGAACGCTAGATTGGCATTGATTGCGCCCGCATTGAGCTCATTGTTTTGTTAACAGAGCCCGTCAACACGATCTGGCAGCAGATAAGAAGCCAATAGAAAAAGTCAACGGAAGCTGACGTGTCTCGACCACTTAAACGATATGTCCCGTTTAAATCGTTAGGGAGTGGCGTTCTGCTTGGCTTCTATTGGCGATCCCTGGCGAAAATGACAAGCTTTATAAAGCGTTGATAACCGTTAAATGAAGGTTTTTTAAAAGTTCATACGCTTTCAAACTTTATGAGAATGCTTACACAACGCCGCTGCGTTTTGAACGCTTTCAGAACGCTTACAAAATACTGTGTATAACGTTTCATAAAAGTTCTACAACGCTAAGTTAAAAAATGCTATATACAAACGTCTCCTAAACGACGCAGCGTTGCAATTTCCGCTCTACAAATTCTCTATCGACTGTTTCTAAACTCTCAACGAACTCCTGCAAACGCTATATACAAGCACTTATGAAACGTTTTATTTTCGCCAGGGATCTACTGTCAAACTGTATCGGCGGGACATGAGTTCAATGCAAACGCGTTGGCCAATGCCAGTTTGCCACGATATTCTGTAAATTTGTTGTTGTATTTCGTTAGCGTAGATTCTGCCGACACTTCGCCAACAAGACTCGTAGCAATTCATTTTGCAAAATCTCCCAACAGTTTCGATTATCTGGACATGCTTTTTGTCCCGCAGCACCGCAATAATCGTTTACTTTGCAGGCACTATTTGCGTATTATTGGGATTCCCGTTTATATTCTCGCAGTGCATAGGCTGCGAGAGTGCGCATCAATACGCACAGCTAGTTTACTACGCCGCCTTTGTAGTGATTTTCCAATTTGGTTGGGCAGCGGTACAGATATCGCACCTGGCCTTAGTCCCAGAGCTTACGCCCGCCGAGCACGAGAGGACCGAACTCATAGCTATAAGGTAATTGCGGAAAGTCTTTGGAGTGTGCAACACTTTGTTCGATAAGAAGATAATGTCCTGTTGTATTGAATGGAAAAAGATAATATGTGCATACGAAACGAAATCTCTAATCCTGTTATATTGCATAGGTTCACATTCACCGTCTTCTCCAATGTTCTCGTCTACTGTATTATGTGGGGCGTATTACACATAACGAGCGATCAGTACGACACTCAGATTGGACCTAATGACATTCACAAATTTCAGAAAGTCGTTCTAATTGGAATGATAACTGGATTGGTAGCATCCATAGTCTTTCATGTTATTGTTAAGGAAAGCGCTAATGGCAGCGCTAATGGTAAAACGAAACACAGTTAATTCAATGTTATACACGCACAGTGGTGGACGGATTGGTTGCGACACTTTGTTTTAGCGAGCTTAGGAACGTGCATTTAGATTCAGGGTTACGTTCTAAAATCTTCTCCGAGGAATGTTTCACTCGACGGCCATTCCGAAAGCACCTTGAGTGTTTTCGATCGATTTCTCAAGTAAAATTTTCCTCAGAAAAAATCTTTTGGAACGCAAACCTGAGGGTCAATTCTGTATCTTACACTACAGTAAAAATGCTAAAAGTTAGTAGCTTTCTCAGCGAGAAATGACTCGTCAATCGACAAATCATTTCTCACGGGGTTGTTTGTCTCTTTCTAACTGTCCCCTTAGAGAAAGAGACTAAGCCGCTCGCTCTTAGCATTTTTACTATATCGTAAGATACAGAATTGACGCCCTAAATTCAAATACGCGCTCCTCAACTCATAAAAAAAAAGTGCCGCAACCATCGCTGTGCGTGTCAAACAATGTATGTCGAACAAATAACGAATTCGATGTCTTTTCAGCTAGCTCTCTGGATCGAAATGCCAGGCCAGCATCAGTATTATTGAGAGATGCGAGATTGTATCAAGTAGCGTTCGTCTACATGCTTACGCGACTGTTTAATAATTTGTGCCAAATATACATACCCCTATATTTACACGAGACACTGAATATGCCTGCGACATCTCTGGCTTATATACCGCTGACAATGTATCTGAGTAGTTTTCTCACGTCTTTAATCATAGAGAGGCTTAATACAAAATGGGGTCGAAAAGTCGCGTATTCTATCGGTGCTCTACTTGCGATATGCGCCTGCACGTGGATACAATTTGGCAATGGCGATGTATATATTAAATATCAGATCTACGCTGTGGCTGTGTTATTAGGTAATCCGTCGTATACAAAGTTTTGTAATCGGACATAATACAAAAATATGTGAGATCTTATTTTATCGCAATGCTTCAGGTGCTGCTGGTGCAATAATGTTAGTGACTAGTCTCGGTGTTACTGCTGACCTGATAGGAAAAAATACTGAGAGCGGTGCCTTTGCTTACGGAGTTATGAGCTTTACGGACAAACTTAGCAACGGCCTGGTGGTTATGCTGATTCAATACTTAGTAAAGTTAGTGAGAACATCTGACATATACATATAAAGCTTGAATTCTTATTACTTGAAAAGTCATAAATTGAAAGAAGCTCCACTCCAACTGTACCTGTCTTTCAGGCACTGTTCGTCGGGTTATACTAATTATTACTACAGAGACATTCTTACATATGTCTGTGGCGCGTCTGCGGCATTTGCTTTACTGATGATCTTGTACATCAAACCGTTTTCCCGTACCATGGGTATGTTTCAAATGCATTTCTTTTAGTAACATACGTATATGACAATAATTACAAATCAATGTTCAACCATGTAAATATGCAAAATTCTTTTAGTCTTCGATACATTACACAACGATGACGATGAAGGTTTCATAGAAACTCCAAATGCGATCGACGGAAACTCCTCTTCAAACCAATCTCAAGCCAGTGCACATGCGTAATCTGATCTACAATTTATAAATCAATAATATACGGAATTTACAGATTGGTATTTATTAAGAGAAAATAAGTGATAATTGCTGTATGGGCTATGATATGTGATGTATAGTAACCGAATTACTATCTTTTTTACTTGAGATCGCCGATATTATTGTTAACATTATTACAGCTTTATATATTTTAATAATATAGATATTGAAATTTATTTTATGTTTTATTAACAGATTTATTATAACGAGACTATTGTAAAGATTATTGTAAACGATTTTTAAATATAAATATTTAAAATTTTTTATATTATTGTCACTTTAATACGATTGAATATACGTGCATACATTGTACTTTAAAGGTAAGGGCACTCATTTATTTGAGACCCATATATTGCACCTCGTCACGCAAAGCAATAGAAGCTTGGGGAGCAATTTAAACTTCATATTGAATCGATTACTTTATTCTCGAGTTAATTCTGTCTTATGTTTTTCCGTATGTTTCGTTTTTCCTTTGTTTTTATTCTATTTCTATTATGTGAAGATTGACATAATGTTATTATAAGTACAGTTAAAAAATTGAGAAATAATTGAGTTAATATAAGACGTAAGTAATACAAGAAAATTTCGTTGTTATTTTAAGATATTTAAAAGTTTATTGAAATCTCTCAAGAAATAAAATTGACAGTCCCTGTCTTACACTATACAAACATTTGGTTACTTTTAATCAGAAATTAAGGATATTTTTATACTAAATTTAAAATAATATTTTATTTCATTGTTCTCAGATATTTAAAAGTAAAAAGTAAGCCGTTTCGTCGTAGCAAAATATTTGAAAGTTTGTAGAAGTCTTTCCAAGAAACAAAATTAATATCTCATGCCATAATTGTGTACAAACATTTATTTATCTTTGATCAGAGATTAAGAGTGGTCTCGTACGGATTTAAAATAGTATTTCATTTTATTACAGTGTAATGAGACATCTAATGTTTCCGATTTCGACTTTGGTTTCTGATCCATTCATCTGAGCCTTTCTCTCGTATTCGTTTTTGACATACAGGTATCTTATTTTTTTATTTGTGTACTGATCTCTTTAACGATCGGTGATATCTTAACTTTTTAAATTCTAATTTAAATTCTGAGGAACATTTTGTACATAGTTTATACCTTCAAATTATATTTTTAAAAGTTTGAGTTTTTTTGATAACAGATCTGCTCGGAAACTACCTGCAGCCTCCTTGAATAAACTATATTTCTCAGTTGCTGTTTTGTATACCATGCTGCTACTTTTTAATAGTATTATAAACATTTATAATTCACAACGTAACACGTAATTCCCTACACAATTCAATAACAAATTGCAAATTAAGAACTGGGCAAAACGAGCAAAGAGAGAGAGAGAGAGAGAGAGCCGCAAATAAAAAATAATTTATGGCCTCGGTGTTATAAACCCCTAAATTGTAATACGGTTCCACGGCTTCGGCCGGACTGAAGAAAGGAGCTACGAAACAATTACCGGGGGTCTCGGTAATTTAATACAAATCCCCTGTCCCTGATAATTATCCTCTTCAATAGAAATTGTTCTCCTTTAAATGCTTCCTCGACGAAAACTTGGTTCCCGCGAACGTCGTTCGCGCATTGTTGATCAATTCTGTTTCCATAGGAATTCTCCAACGGGACATGAAAGGAGCGATGTCAGGGAGCGATAGCACCAGCGTTCGCCCACCCTCGTCTCCTCTCGTCGTTAGCGAAGTTATGCCCTATCACCGAGGTATGCCTGCCGGGTTAATAAGTCACGGAACGCGTACACGTCGGTGGTGGTACGACGGCGGTACCACGGCGGTGCCGCTTGTCCCCGCCAAGGGGCCCGTAAAGGGTTGGATGGTACCATCGCACGCGATCCACCACCAGGCTCCTCCAGTTACAACGCTGATGCGCCGTTCGATTTTCCTTCGTCGGCTTCTCCCGGCCGAGGGGAGGAAACGTACGTAACATCGATTGGCCGCTCGGCCGACCGGGGCGCGTTCTTAGAGGGTCGAAGCGAAGAGCTGCCTGATAAGGGGTAGAACGCGCTCAGAATGCTGGCGGCGAACAGCGCCTACGGTTGCCGCGACTGCCATCCCTTCGTACCTGGCAGCGCGACGAGTATCGCGACTGTCGGCCATCCGGGTGCGGCGCGTCCCAAGTTCTTCCCGAGGATCACCGCCAGATTGAAAACGTCACCCGGCCTAGGTGGTTACGCGGACCCGGCGTGCGTCGCACGTATGAAGCGCCTGAAGAACAGGTGAAGTTGGAAGTTATTTATATTCATTTGATTAAGAGGGAGTCCATTTTTTTTGTGTGTGCCTGTGGGCGACGTAATAGTGATTAGAGGAAAGTCTCCTATTATGAGATACGAGTCCATTGTGAGATAGTAGGTTTTCAACGTCCAAATTCAATGGCAAATCTTTTTTCGCAACGATTACGCGATCTAACGATCAATTTTCCACTAAACAGATTTCACTCCAAGGGCAGTAAAGTCTTGGTGGAACCAGCGGATGTGATGCCTATTAATTTAGCAGAAACTCCGCTACCTCGTATTGGGAGCCTATCTCGTGATCGGGGACACTTTCGTCTATAATTCAAATAAAATGATTTTTTAACAAAAGTCTTAACCGACTCTACGATTATTTTGTAGAAAAACAAATGCAGCTTCAAAGTTGGATCTAAGCAAGAGGAAACCGGCGGATTATATGGAGCTGGCATATAGAGAAGCTATCTCGAAACTGAAGTATCTGCTAGCAGAATCGTACGCTCCAACGGGAATGTCCGGAACGTGAGTTGATCAAAAAGGCAGAGTGTACAGTTAAATGATTAGAGTCGAGATACCTGAAATAAAATTAAAAAGAAGATAATAAACTCGTATCTCTTATACATCTATTGTACATTTTTACGGGATAAAATTCGGGAAAATTGACACAGATTGCAGGGCAGAATTGTGATCAATTATCATTAATCAATAATAACTTATATGTACTTGTGTGAATATTTAAGTAACACTTTTACTTTAAGAGGCCTGTTAAAATTTAATTTTGTACCGACTGTACAATGAGGGCAATATTCTCTGGTATTATTATTTAACAGACTTTAAAATATCTTTCTTGCCTCTCCTCTTCATCCTTAGTTCTTTCTCTTCTCCCCCCCCCCCTCTTTCACTCTCTCTGTTTCCCGCCCGAATTATTTCATAAGTAATTTACTGTCAATTACTTTTGGCACGTATCCCCGTTTAAAATGTTAACTAGAATACGATCGGATTACATTGGATTACATGCAATTTCAATGTAAATAAATAAGAGTTTTGTAATCTAATGTAATCTGATGATATTCTATCTTATTTTAAACAGGGATTTTATCCTGCGAATATAGCAAAGTAAAATGAGAATAATTTCTATGCAGGAAGCAGCGAAGTATTCGTAGCATATATAAAAGCAGTAATCCGCGAATCAGTGAGTCTGGAGAGGACACCGATGATCAAAGCCTGATCAGCGATAGCTTCCGAAGAAAGGATCTCTCCAGAAACGCGGCTTTAAATACCTATCCACCTCTCTCGAAAACTATTCAGTCGTCAAAAGCGTACAGTAATATAGCACTGTCAAGGGCCGATCTTCAGTCCATTCCCCCGGAGTTAACGTCCTTCATCGAACGGCAGGAGGATTATATCGAACAGTTGGAACGGGAGTCTCAATACTGCAGAGACGAGCTGATCAATCTGTTGAGCAAAGTTCGCGAGGTATAACTTTCTTTCAAATTAACGCGATCAGAGACGCCGAGCAGGAGAGGACACGATAAAGTGTTTTTTTCTTTTAATCGCTTCAACTGTCATGGCTCTTCGCAGGTCGTAGCTGAAAACGAGGCGCTGCACAGCAGGAATCAAGTTGTATTGTCGAAGTGCGTGCTGGATCATAAAGATCACTGCGGGGCGAATCATGAGTGTCACAAGCAAGACGAAGGCGGCCATATTGATAATACATTAGAATGCAAACGGGAGAAGTTCTTGGAAGGGCCCAGTATAATGTTCGAGTCAAGAATTAGTGAGCTCGAGGCGCAATTGACCCAGGCCAAACTGGAGTTGCGAAAGGCGCAGGAGGAGAATCAGGCAAACGTGAAACGCCTGTCCGAGAGTGGTTCGAGCGAGGGCAACGCTGAGTTGAGGGCTGAATTGGACAAGGCCCTACGCGCCAAATACGAGGCCGAGATGAAGCTAGAGGAGTCGCAGAAGCTGCTGTCGGTCGCGCGGGATAAAGAAACCCAGGCGACGCAGAGAGCGAGACGGTCTATGGACGACAGGCAGGAGATCGAGTTCGAGAGGAATCAAAGCGACATGGAGATTCGGAGACTGAAGGACGAGTTGGAGAGGCAGCATGAAAAGCTACGGGAGGCGGCCCAGGACGCGAATAGGCGTATAACCGAGGAGAGGCAGCAAGTGGAGCGCCGATACAATCAGCAAATCGAGCAGCTCACCGCCGACGTCGCGACCAATTGGGAAACCACCAATAAATCTCAGTTGGAGTCTGAGAAGCAGCGGCGTGAGATAAACGAGCTGAGACGAGAATTATCTCAGAAACAAGCCGCCATGGACAATCTGAAGAAAGAGTTGCAGAATAAGATATGTAAGTTTGACATTTGAGAAGTAAACTTTCAAAGCCGTAGGATATTTAATTGTTTGCGCGAAGCTGCAAACGAAGAAATATACTTTCCTTTCGTTCAGCCACCTTGCAGAGCGATCTGAGCCAGGCGTTAAGCGAGAAAGACGCGGCGGAACAAGAGGTCCTAACTGGTAAACTGGCGGCCGAACGAAGCGACCGGCAGGCCCGTCAAGAGCAGAGCAGACTGCAAACGGAAATAAATTCGTACAAGCAGCGTCTGGAAAGAGCGGACGCCGACCTGGTGCATTGCAGGCGAGAAAACCTACGACTGTCGGAGCAAATAGCCTCTTTGGAGAAAGAGGTGAATAGCTTGAGTCACTTTATCATGTGTATTATCAAGTAGATCATGCGGACCCAAAAGTTTCCGGAATTGTCTTAAAAAGTAGCATTTTCGTATGGATTTTCTTGCCTCTTTCCATAATTTTCTTTTCATTCCATGGCCAATATTGGCCTTACATTGGACCAATGTTTAACCAATGCAAACCAATGCACTGTGCTACTAGGGGATGCTATCTGCAACCCAGTGAGAAATGATTCGAAACGATGTCGAGTCGACATCGACTCTGTCAAATTGACGTCGATTCGACATCGATTGACGAGTCATTTCTCGCTGGGAATGTGATGCCACACGGCAGGCTATTTCGTACCGCAGACCCGAGAGTTTTAGAACTGCACATCACTGGCCTGGCCCCAATTCGCACGGGAGATTTGAATTCCGAAAATTTTTGAATACCCTCTACAGTAATTTAAAAAAAAGAAAAGATTAACATGAAGAATATCTGACACGTGTAATGCGATATTATAATAAAATACGGTTCTCATGTACGTTTTCAGATCAGTATGAGTAAGATTGTACGATCCGAAGAGAGTCGTAACGAAATTACGCCTAGATTGGAAAACGAGAAGGAATTAACGTCCATGATAATGGATATGGAGACTAAGCATGGTAAGATATCGCCCTAGGTATGCCTATGTTAGGTATATTGTCCGTGTAAAAAGTGTTTACTGCTGAAACAAGTTGACTTTAACTTAAGAGTTTGCTATCGTCATGTGTGAGAAATCGGCATGCCGACCCTATATATGCCTAGCATAGGCGGAGATTGAGATTTTAGTTTCAATTAACAATCGCAACAGGCTGACCAAGGCAACGAAATTTCGCAGCTGCCACGGTGGCGGGCCTAGAAGACGCCCTGAGTAATCAGGCAACGCTCGTCTCGAGATTGACCGCCGAATGCCAATCTCTCACACAGCGTTTGGAAGCTAACAATCTTAAACACAAGTATATTCTTAGTTCCGACTCGCAGAGTACCGAATGAGATAAAGCACGTAGCTTCAGGCTGGTCAGACGTTTAGCTAGTTTACAATTAGTGAATTCTCGACTAGCCCAGGCCCGAACGGGGGCAGCTTGATTTACAGTATCTAACACCCGTTGTTGCGCGCGCGTTTATGTACGACGGCAATTAGTAGATAAGAACGCACCACTTCTCACTATATGTACCTGGGGCTATTCTGTGTTGACAGAGGGGGTCGTTGAGAGAGATGCGACAACGGTTGGGCAAACCGCTTCGAGCAAGAAACGTACCGTTAAGGTTGATCTAAAAGTAAAAGTAATTCCGAAAAAGAAGTCCGACACCTCCAAAACGTCTCTATCAGCACAGTAATAGCGAGAGTGTGCCCCAACAAGCAAATGCGATAATTACATTACATTATTACGCTCGATGTGACATTGATTTTCCGCTAATGATATAGTTCAACTCCACCGTTTTGTGCCCCGTATCCGTTAAATCCGTTTACACGTTTATCACAGGGAAGAAATGGCCGGCTTACAGAGCAACATAGAACACTTGTCAAGTAAAATACAGGGCAGCCTTGTAAGTCACGCAGGTATTAATTTTTTCAATTAATTTGCACGCGAATTTACAATTCGAATTTCAGCGCGCACGTCGAGGTTGTACGTCGAGTAACGGGGATCATTTTCCAGGAGGAATTGCTGTGGAAGCTAACGATGATACTGGAGCTTTTCATTATGACGCTACGATGGATTCAGTAGTCCCGCCGAATATCAGCGGGTTGCCGACTGGTGCACCGGTGTCGCAAATGATACATCAGGGATACGACGCGGGAAACGGCCAACTGGTGGCGGACCGAATGCAGGGTGACTTGTATGGCTTGTCGGGCGATCAGATGCACACGGTGCAAAACAACTTTGCACCGAGTACGGCGGAAACTACGGGGGTGTATCAGCAGCAAGAGAACGCTGGTAATAACGAAGAGTACACGGCGAACGATCCGAGCATGGAGGCTTACATGATGGAGCATAATCAGTACGACGAGTACGACCCTTCGCAGTACCCGGAAGAACAGTATGTTCATGGCGACCAGTTCAACGTGACGGCGGACCAGGCGCAAAATAATCAAACTGTCTCTGACATAGCCAGGACCAGTACCGAAACCCTGCACTAACGTATTCTGTATTAATGACGCACATATATGAATATAATATTTGCTCGTGAGCAAGATACATACACGAAGAATATGGAATAAACGCGTAAATCGAATTCGTCAAGTTACTTCGGTTATCTTCAGACCTCCTGAACACGCACATAATTCTCTACTTAGAGATTATTTACTATTATATGTTTGAAATGTAGAACATTAACCCTGGTAGCACAATATTGGGAAATAATGTGAACCTGGTATTTGCAATATTGGTCAGACAATCATATTTGCAATATTCATTAGACTTCTGACCTAGGTGTTTTAAGTAATCTGTCGATAAATGTTCGACTCTGAAATCTCCATATTACACTTGGATGACTGGACAAGAGCGCGATAACTATGGAGATGGAGACAATTTTAAATAAACATTCAGCATTATCACGTCGTGTATCTATGCACATGATAACATTTCGGCACATGTGCATTCAGCGGTTAAATCTCTCCACAACGTTCAGAAAATGTCTATTTTTTCTTCTTCCACGATTAATATAACTTAACTGTTAATTTATGTGAGAATAAATCGATAAATCTCACATCACGAGATCTTTTTGTGGACTTGCTGGATGATATTCGGATTTCGTAATGAGCGACCCCGAAAACCCCTTGGTACAAAGTTTTTAAGAAATAATCTTAAATAACTTGGTCAATAATGAGTTTTTCCGAGAAAATTGCTGTTTCTTCACATTTGTTTATATATAAAACTTTAACAATACATATTAAAGACCATTCAACTTCTTTTTACGTTCTTTTATTGCCAAGATACCCAAAAAATGCAAAAAACCCGACCTAAATGCGTTGATCAGAAATGAAATGGCCAAAAATGCTTCAAAAGGTTCAAGCGGGGAGCGCGCACTTTTGCACAAGTGCACAAGCATATGCATGACGAATTTGATTGGCCCATTTCCTTGTGCATTTGCTTATAGACCAATCAAATTCGTCATGCATATGCTTGTGCACTTGTGCAAAAGT